TCCACTGTTTTTATCATTTCAGAATTGGCGAATGGCTTCCAATACGGATTAGCTGAGTGCCACTACACACCAAACTGAGATAATTACAACATATGGAGTTGTCTTGCGTATTCGCTGCATCACACTCGAGCTAGGACATGGTCATACCTGTTTCCTAACAAGAAGCGCGATTTCTTGATACGGACCAAATTGTCCTCATGGGGTTTCCTAATCATTTATTGCGCCGTAAATTGAGTTTTCACTTGTATTTGGCCCAAAATCATATCGGGCCCAAGAAGAGGAGTTATGGCAAGTTTACTTATTTCTTGCCCATCAAGTATCATCACCTATAAATAGGGAGTTATTCTCAACTTATCACTCCTATGCTCTCTCTTACATATCACACTCGATTATCTCTCGATAAACACTGACTTGATCGTCGGAGCTTCTACGCCGGGAAACCCCTCCCGGTGTTGCAGGTACTCCTCCGGCGGAATTTCCGGCAAGCTATCATCAAAATATCGCCCAAGGAAGACAGGTCATCATCTCAGCAATTTTCGAGCAAATCAAGTGGCGCCGTCTGTGGGAAAAAGATCTCGAGCTAAGACGTGAGATGATTTGAATTTTGGGATCTTCTCCATGGGGTTGGAGATAATGCAAGATTGAGGAAGAACAGTTCACTGTATTTCTTAGGGAGTTTTTTAACGGGAAACCAAAAAGGGGCTCAAATCTTGTGCTTCGAATCTAAATCTGATGAATCAACAAATTACAAAGAGGAGAATCCAGATCTGGTGAATCGACCGAAATCTAGGGAGAAAAATAAATAAGAGTAGATTCACGAGGTAAATGACATGAAACGAGTCCAAATCCCGAGTCAGGAGCTTGACGAATCCGAGGTGGAGGTGGGAGAAGAAAGGAAAGAAGAAGCAGTCAACCCCGTCTTAGTGTTCGTCGATCCGTGTCCATCGGCCAAGTCTTGCTGACCTCGTTTAACGAGATCGAATCTCGTTAAACCTGGATCTGCTGAGCCATCCCTCGCCAAACCTATGCTCGCCTATCGAACGCCGGCCAAGCTGAATCTCGCGGGCTCATCACCTCGAAATCCGATTCTCTTTTCCTCGCCGAAGCCCAGGGCCGCCAATTGAGCAATAGCTCGTCAAAATCCATTTCAGTAATTCATCAATTTACAAATTTAAGAAACACCAACCGCCGGCGGCGTCGGCGAAATTTCCGGCTGTTTTACCTCCGCCGTCAACTTTGTTGATGCGAATAGATTACTGCCCAAAATTCCCCTCGTGTAGAAATCGACTTCTTTTGGTACTTCAAGAAGCTGAGATTCTGTTTCTTTCTGGTTCGTAAGTAACGGAGGGAGTTGATCTGTTAAAATTGAGGCCAACAATGTCTTGCAAAGCTTTGTAAAATCGAGGGAGAGATAAATGAGGCACAAGAAAAATCGGGAAGAGCTGAAATCGAAGCCCAAGCTTTGAAGGAAGCTCTCATTCAATTAGAGGCTGAAAAGAATGCTGGACTGGTCAAACAGAAAGAGTATTTGGAGAGGATATCTGATCTCGAGGCTATGGTTTCGAAATTCCAAGAAGATACAAAGGGGCTCGACGAAAAAGCGCTCGAAGCAGAAAGCGAATCTCGAACCCTAAAAGATCAAATGTCGAGATTAGAGCTCGAAAAGGAGACGGTGATGCAACAGTACAAACAGTGCCTCGAAAAAATATCAGAGTTGAAGAACAAAATCTCTATAATCGAAAATGAGGCCAGCCTCCTTAAGAAACGAGCCGAGAGAGCTGAAGCTGAAGTTTCTGAACCGAAAAGGGCGTTTGCTGATCTGAACAAGGAGAAAGAAGCTTCGGCCCTACAGTACAAGTGCTGCCTAGAAATTATATCCAAGCTCGAAAAAGGATATGTCAAGCTTGAATGATAAAGTCTCGATTGGAAATGTGAAGCTCAAGACTACCGAAGAGAAGTGTGCTCTGTTCGAGGAGTCGAATCAATCACTGCGAGTCGAAGCGGACAATCTTGCGAAAAAGATTGCTGCGAAAGATCAAGAACTCTCAAAAAAGCAGGGCGAACTAGAGAGTCTTGAAGTGCGTTTAAAGGACGAGCATCTCCGCCACGAAAAAGTCGAAGCCACTCTCGAGACTCTGCGAAATTCGCACTCTAAATCTCGAGATGATCAAATGGCTCTGACGCTTGAGCTCAAAAATGTAGTTCAAAAGCTGAAAGAAACTGAAGCTAGCAAAAATTGCTTGGAAGAAGAGATTCGGCAAGTTAGAGATGAAAACGATAGTTTGAGCCAAACGAACTCTTCTACGGATAGTATGCAGAATGAAATCTTTAGTTCGAGGAAGATTAAGGAAAGGCTCGAAAAGGAAGTTTCGCACCACATTGGGATAACTATTTCTCTTCAAAGGGAAATTTCGAATTTGAAAGAAGAAATCGAAGGGTTGAATAGGCACTATCGGGATTTAGTGGAGCAAGTGGAAGAAGCAGGTCTCGACCCCACGAATGTGTTGATTTCAATTAAGTGCTTGCACGAGGAGAATTCGAAACTGAGGCGACTATGCGAAAAAGGCAGAAACGAGAAAGCAATCATGTCGAAGAAGCTAGAGAATATTGAAGACGCGTTGTTGGAATCGGGCCAATTTATTTACGGAGAAAAAACTGCTCTAGTTGCTGAGAAAGCTTCTATTTTGTCTCAATTACAAGCCATGACCGAGAATATGCAGAGTTTAGTGGGAAGAAACGCCGTTTTGGAGGATTCATTATCCACCGCCAAAATCGAGCTCGAAGATTTGAGGGAAAAATCGAAAGGGTTAGAGGAGATTTGCAAATTGCTCAAGAACGAAAGATCGCGTCTTTTGACCGAAAGGGGCAGTTTAGTTTCGAAGCTGGGAAAATGTGGAGAGAAAGGCTGCACATTTTGGAGAAAAAATTATGGGGGTTGGAAGAAAAATACACTGATTTAGAGAAAAGAGAAAGAAGCCATGCA